CAGTGGTGTGATCTTAGATCTCAGCTCACTGCAAACTCCACCTCCCGGGTTCAAGTGATTCTTCCGCCTCAGCCTCCTGCATAGCTGAAACTACAGGTGCGTACCACCACATCTGGCTAATTTTTGTATTTTTAGTAGAGACAGGGTTTCTGCATATTGGCCAGGCTGCTCTTGAACTCCTGACCTCAGGTGATCTACCCACCTTGGCCTCCCAAAGTGCTGGGATTACAGGTGTGAGCCACCATGCCCATCTCTCTCTCTCTCTCTCTTTTTATTTAACTTTTTGAAGAGACTGTGTTTCACCATGTTGTCCAGGCTGGTCTCAAGCTCCTGGATTCATGCCATCTGCCAGCTTAGGCCTTTCAAAGTGCTGAGATTACAGGCATGAGCCACCAGCCCAGCCAGAGATTGTTTATAGCAGCCAGAAATAGCAGTTTTGCAGGCATGTATAGAACCTGGGCCATATGACCGTCTCTGAAGGATGAGCCCTGTCCCTGACTTGCAGTACGTCCTGTGTCCTCCAGCAGAGAGATCCACACCAAAGGGCACAGAGCTTGTGACCACCCACAGTGGAAGCACAAGTGAAGGGACCAGGGTGCAAAAGAAAGAGACCAAATCTCCTGGGAATAAACAGGAGGTTGTGCAAGAGAAGGCTGAAGCAGGTTGGTGTCCCTTTGGGGTTTGTGTAACTCAGGTGGAGCTGGAAGGCTCCTGGCTGGGCAAGCAGCGTGAGCAGGAGCATGGAGGCTGAGTGAGGGCCCCACAGAGCTGCTGTGGGAGAGCTCAGATGGCCGGGTGTGCACAGGGAATTATGCCCTCAGCACTTCCACATTGTCCTACTGCCCTTAGTCCATTATCTGTAGGAATGGTGATTCTTTCCCTGAGTGTGTAAAGACTCTGGATCAGGGTGAATGAAAGCCTAGAGCTCTGGGAAATTTAACTTGGCTCTGTCAGGGTACCTTGTCTCCCCTAGTTTTTCTGCTTGCAGGAGACTAACAATGAGGATGGGTCTGGTTTACTGGAGCTACAGCCTTGGTCTTCAGAATCAGGCTGACTCTGGTGGGGAACTCAAGGCCAATCCTGAGCTGTTCTGGCATCATCTTATCCCAAGCAAACTCTCTCTCCCCCTGTGACTCCCAGCTTTGCCTCTCCCAAACGTGGCCTGCAAAATCCTCCCCCTTCACTGTGTCCCTGCTGCCGGAGCCCAGACACCAATTCTCAGTGGGGTTCAGAGCCCCAGCTTTCTCAAAAATGAGCTGGGACTGATGTGGTTATGAAGTCAGGGTGGGGACAAAGAGACCAAGCCCATAAGGAAAGCATCTTGCAAAATAGCTGCTAAAAGGGAGAACCTCATCCCTCCCACTGGTTAAATGAAAATATTCCCACTCAGAAGATCAGCAAAAGATGTTCATTGAAGTTTACTAACCTTAGGGTGTAACAGCTCAGGCCCCTGGGATTTCCAATCTCTGTTTCAAAAGATAAGGGATAGCTTCTGTCTCCAAGATTAAAATTCAGATTCTTACGAGATGAAGAAACTATAGGAACGTATACACAGTTAAACTCTGAGATCTGTATCTGTGATCTGTAGATAATTATTCTTCATCACATACAGACACATATGCAGCCACGCATGGAAGTATTCAGTAGGGGCACAGGTATTTTATAGAAGACAAAATGTATATTGGGCAAAAAAAGATGACATGGAAATAAACCAAAACAATTTTTTTCACTATGAAAATGCTTTAATAATGGTGTCTATTAAATGCTATTTAATAGTAGCATGGGACATGGACAGGGAAAATAGCAAGTGCACGCACAGAGGCACAGGCCAGAAGACAGGCTGGGATTGAATAAAGAGTTCACACCGCTTCCCTGCTTTCCCCGGTGACTGGAGGCTCTAGGCCACCTCCTCTTCAAACTCACCCTCCTCCTTGGCTGTGGCTGCCTGGTACTGTTGGTATTTGAACACCAGGTAATTAACATTGCCCTTGGCCTTGGTGAACTCCATCTTGTCCAGGCCCTCGCCCGTGGGGAAACATGGCTGTGAAGTGCTCCGAGATGTTCTAGGACAGCTCCTGGATGGCCCTGCTGTTGCCAGTGAAGGTGGTGGACATTTTTAGCCCTCAGGGTGGGATGTCACAGCCGGCCATTTTCTCATTGTTGGGGATCCACTCAGCAAAGTAGCTGCTGTTCTTGTTTTGGACATTTTAATGTTTTAATGTCCAAAACATTGGCTCACCCACCTTCTTCATGGACATGTGGCCCCTGAACACGGCAGCCACCATCAGGTAGCGGCCATCATGTTCTGGGCATTCAACATCTGCTGGGTGAGCTCAGGCATTATCAGGGCCCGGGACTGCTGGCTAGTCAGTGGGGCAAAGTTGGGCGTGAATAAGTGCCGGTGGGGAAAAAGGACCATATTCACGGCCAGTTTCTGCAAGTCAGAATTGAGCTGGCCTCGGAAGCACAGTCAGGTAGTGACCTCACTCATGGTGGCAGACACCAGGTGGTTCAGGTCACCATAGGTGGGCATAGCAGCTTTAGGGGTCTGAAGCAGACGTCATAGAGAGCTTCATCATCAATGCAGTAGGTCTTGTCTGTTTTTCCTATGAGCTGGTGGATGGGGAGGGTGGCATTGTAGGGCTCCACCACCGTGTCTGACACCTTGGGTGTGGGCACCACACTGAACGTGTTCATGATCCTGTCTGGGTACTCCTCCCTGATCTTGTTGATGAGGAGGGTACCCATCCTAGACCCAGTCCCCTCACCCAGGGGGTCCTGGCCACTTTGCTGCTTTATTTTGTTTTTTAACATACTTCTGGATTCAATATGCTGTTTCTTAATTTTATGTTCAGATACCTTTGTGTTAGCTACTATATACCTAAAAAATGTTTTATTTATTTTAAATGTTTAGATTAATAGAGGGCTGGGCGAGGTGGCTCACGCCTGTTATCCCAACACTTTGGGAGGCTGAGGCAGGTGGATCACGAGGTCAGGAGTTTGAGACCAGCCTGACCAACATGGTGAAACCACGTCTCTACTTACAATACAAAAATTGGCTGGGTGTGGTGGCACGCGCCTGTAATCCCAGCTACTCAGGAGGCTGAGACAGGAGAATCGCTTCCACTGGGGAGTTGGAGGTTGCAGTGAGCCAAGATTGTGCCTTCAGAGCTGTTGGGGTCAAATATAAACACTCTCTGGCTCCTCCTACGCTCTGTTGGGCCTCGCAAGTGGGTTAGGAAAGACTGTTCCAAGAGTGGGTATGTCAAGCATTGATGAAAGGGAAGGGAGGATAAAGGAAAAGTTGAACAAATTAAATCCTAGGTTAATTTAGAGTTATTCTGAGTTCTGTGAAATCAGTTCAAGTTTCAGTAAACAGTAACCTTCTTGACAAAAAATAATAATAATAACAATAAAGGAAAGAAATCATTCCGAATTCTGATGTTTGATGATAAAGCACAATTATTTGCTTTTACCCCTTCCACAAAGAAATGAAACAATTTGGGAAGACATCCCAGGAGATTCAGGAAAAACAAGGCACGGTAAGTGCTGTGGTTTGAATGCCCCCTCCAAAACTCATGTTGAAATTTGCCATTCTGATGGCATTAAGAGGTGAGACCTGGCTGGGCACGGTGGCTCAGGTCTGTGATCCCAGCACTTTGGAAGGTCGAGGTGGGTGGATCATCTGAGGTCAGGAATTCAAGAACAGCCTGGCCAACATGGTGAAACCCTGTCTCTACTAAAAACACAAAAATTACCTGGGCAGGGTCTCAGGCACCTGTAATCCCAGTCACTTGGAAGGCTGAGGCAGCAGAATCACCTGAATCCTGGAGGCAGAGTTTGCAGTTGGCCGAGATTGTTTTATTTCACTCCAGCCTGGGCAACAAGAACAAAACTCCTTCTAAAAGAAAAGAAAAGAAAGAAGAGGTTGGGCCTTTAAGAGTTGATTAGGTCATGAGGCCCCTGCCCTCATGAATGGATGAATGTTGGTATCTGGAGAGTACAGGGAGCGGGCTTCTGATAAAAGGGTAAGTTCAGTTTCCATCCACTCTCTGTGTCCTGTGCGCTTGCCCCTCTGCTATGGTATGGCACTGCAAGAAGGTCCTCACAAGTTTTGGCCCCTTGATCCTAGACTCCTCAGCCTCCAGAACCGTGAGCCAACTAAACTT